GAACGGTCCAGAACTAGTTGCACTCGGAGCCTCTGGAGAGGTGAAAGGGGCCGGGCGCGGCGGCTCACGCCTGTAACCTCAGCTCTTTGGGAGGCCGAGGCGGGAGGATCACTTGAGGCTAGGAGTTTCAGACCAGCCTGGGCAACTTGCGAGACCCCCGTCTCTAAAAAATAAAAATAAATAAAAGCCGGGAGTGGGGATGCATGCCTGTTGTCCCAGCTACTAGGGAGGCTGGGGGTGGGGGGAATCGCTTGAGCCCAGGAGTTTGAGGCTGCAGTGAGCTGTGATCGCACCACTGCGCTCCATCCTGGGATGACGAGACTCTGTCTTAAATTAAAAAAAAAAAAAAAGTTGGATGAGACCCCCTCGAATGACTGTTCTGCCGGCTCTGGAATCTGAGGCCCAGGTGCCGTGCTGCCCCAGACCTGGCCTGGTGCCCGGGTGGTGTCGACGGAGTGATCAGCGTGTGGGAAGAGGAGAGCTCAGTGAGCCAACAGCCCTGGCAGGGGCGGAGGCGGGGAGGGTCCCCCGCTAACGGCCTCGGTCCGCAGATCGCGCTGGAGTCGGTGAACGTGATCGACGCCGGGGAGACGGCGCTGGTGGAGGGGCTGCGCGTGGCGCCCTGGGAGCGCGGGAAGGGAGTGGCCGGGCTGCTGCAGCGCTTCTGCTCGCAGCTGGTCAAGCAACAGCACCCGGGGGTCAAGGTGGCACGGCTCACCCGGGATGACCAGCTGGGCCCCCGGGAGCTGAAGAAATACCGCCTAATCACCAAGCAGGTGAGAAGGACGGGGAGCTCGGATGGCTGGGCCTCTGCTGGGGCACACGGGGAGACCTTCCCCACGCCCAGCGGAGCCCGGGTTTGCTTTCTCTCCGGGCTCTACTGAGTGGTGCGGCCCATGAGCCTTGCCCTGGGACTTCCAGTCCTTACCAGACCCTTTGACTCAGGGGAAGTCAGACTCCTGACTCCCAGCCTGAAACCTTACATCCCAACTTCGGGGACCTTGCCTCCCCTAGGATCCTGCCTCTGTTCAGTGACCCAAGCATCCTCATCTGAGCCTTTGTCCTCCCTCTGCGCCTCCCTAATCCTACTGACTGATCGGCCTCCCTGGCTTTCACGTCCCTGGAGACTAGGGGACCCGCACCCTCGGTTCCCTGGCTACTCCACAATGATCCCAACTCTCCTTGGGGATCCAGGTATTGGGAGCCCGTGCCCCTGGTCCCTCTCTGGTACCCTTGAAACCCAGGCTTTCCCATACCCCCACTCCGCCCGCAGCCGTCACGGTCGCTCCTCTGGAGCCCGTGGGCGTGAACGTAGAATGAAGATTCCTGCCGAGAGGCGCCGGGCTCGCCAACCCTCCCGCGCCCGCCTCGCGCTCACTCGTGCCCCCCGCAGGCCATCCTTTTGGTCCGATTCAACGCGTCCGCGCTGCTGGCCCGGCTGGGCGCGCGGCTGGCGGAGCTGCGGACCTCCGGCACCTTCTCGCCGCTACCCACCGAGGCCATGTCCGAGGCAGGCGGCGACGTGGCACGCCTCCTGTTGTCGCCCTCCGTGCAGCGCGATGTGCTTCCGGGAGGGACCATCATCCAGGATTGGCAGCCCTACCGGCCCAGCGAGAGCAACCTGCGCCTGCTGGCGGCTAAGGGCCTGGAGTGGCGCGTGGACAGCCGCGCGCGCCCGCGCGTGCTCACGCTGTGCACGCGCCCCTTCCCCATACCGCACGGTGGGGACGGCACTTGGCGCTACCTCAACATCGACGCCTTCGGCAGCGACGGCGCGCAGGTGCAGAGCCAGTTGGTGTGGCACCTGCAGCGCCAGGCCCCGCGCCTCGCCGGCCTCAACGTCATGTGCCAGCTCTTCCTGGAGCCCCAGCTGTGGTCACAGCTGGCTGACTTCTGCCAGGCCGGGCTGGGGCTGGAGCTGGTGAAGGGTTATACTGAACAGTACCTGCTGGAGGCCGACATCTGAGACCTCTCCTCTGGCGGGGTGGGGGAAAATGAAGCACTTTGGACCTGCCCCCTTCCGCAGTTTCCCCAGCCAGCCTCTTCCCTGCCATTTCCTACTCTGCGTCCCTTGGGAAGTTCCCTCTGACTCCCACCCTTACCGGCGCAGGTCCCTGCACTCTGTCCCTTTTCCCCTTACTATCTCGCCTCTAGCGCCCCCAAACACTATTGCCTATTCCCCGACCTGAACTGCCGGATTTGGGGGCGGGCGGGCTTGAGCTACTATTATCCACTCTCTTCTCTTCCAAAGAACTGGTCCTGGCACAGGCTTCAGAGTCCTTCCCTGTCCATCACCCCAGCCCTGGCATGAACTCCGCCTTTCCTGGCTTCTCCCTCCTGCCCCCTCGTGGGTGGAAACGCGCAGGAGTGTGTGGGATGCCCAGCCTCCTCCCCGAGTGCAGCCGCTCAATCCGGGTTTCTCTTCTTCCTCCTGCCCTTTTTAAAGCCCTCAAAACTGGCACTGCACTTCCCTCCCCACCTCTATCTCCCACCCCGCTCTCAAGCCTCTGGTGCCAGAGATCAGTGCCCTCTCCCTAGTCCCCCCTTCTTCATCCTCTCTGGATCTCTATGACCCTTAGCACAGCAGTGCTCATTTACCTGCCCCTCTGTTCCCCTTTCCATCACCAGCCCAGTGTCAATCCAGAGAGGGAAACCCTGTAAAATGAAATGTATTTAGAATGTTCCCCATTTGGGTCCTTGTTCACCTTGGTGATGCACTTTCTGAGCCTGCCTCTCTCACTGGGGTTTCCTCCAGCTTTGCACAACGTTGCTATTTTGCAGGCTCCCCCTTGCCCCAGCTAACCCAGGTGGGGGTGGAGGGGTGGACAGGGGTTCTGGCTGGAGAGTTTGGTATAACGGAGGGCAGGTCCCTCAGCCTGGCATAGGGATTGTCTCCTGGTTTCAACCAGGCTGCCTTCTAGTGCAACCGGAATCCCCACCTCCTGGTATTTCTGGACACCACTCCCTTCCTCTAGATCATTTATGCTTTTAGAACTTTGAGAGTCTTCTATTTAATTGCAAGTAGTAACAGCTGCATCTGCACAGCGCTGCCTCCAATGCTGGATCCCCACATCGAAGGCAGAGGAAGAAAACAGAAGTCTGGGAAAGATCAAAGTGACTTCTAAGTCACTCAAAGTAGCTGGGAGCCTCCCAGCGAATAGAACCCAGGTGTCCCAAGCCTAGCGCATGACCTAGAACTTTACTCTGTCTGATGATGCTCGCTTGAACTTCTTGCTGGGCAATGCCTAGGTGCTAGGAGAATGTTGGCAGTGAGTTTGGGGTTTGCTGGGGATGAGATCTGAGATGTGGGCAGAGGGGGACATCAGCAGGTCAAAGGGGGGGCACCTGCCACTTCACCACTTCCCCCAGCTCTGGTTTTGCTACTGTGATGCTCTGCTTGGCTGTTTTCTGTGCCAGGCAGACATGGCCATGCTGCCACCCTCCTTGTCACAGTAACCACGACTGTACGACAATAAAATGGACCTTTTGGCCACCCTCTGTGTCTGTTTCACTTCTCAGTGGGGAGGATGAGACACATTACCTTCCCCTTTCCCCAGCAGCCTGTATCAGAGAGGGTCTCTAAACCCTGTGGCAATGGAGCTAATGACTTACTGGGGCGAGGGAAGAGGTGGGGAGGGGTTCTGGGGTGGGCTGCTGGCCGTGCGCCCCGACCCCACCCCTGCCAATTGAGGAAAGAAACCACTGCTCAGGACCGAGGTGGGCAGCAGCACCGCCCCCTGACTCGCCCGGCCTTGTTTTTCCCTGGATCTGGGAATCTGTTGCTACCCAAATTCTGCAGGTTCTTCTCCCACGTCCCTCTTGGCATCAAAGACCAGCTTCCATCAGCCAGGATCCAGGTATCTAACTTCCAGTTCCAGAGTCGCCCTTGGCCAGCCTGGCTTGCTTTCCCCATTTCTAGGTGGGCAACCCACGGTGTGGGGAGGAGGTGGAGAGAGCCTGGGCACCGCCCCCCACCCAGCCTGCTCTGGAGCAGCAGAGACTGCGATCCCCCAAAGTAACACGCGGGGGCGCCAGGACGTGCGCGGACGCGGGCGAGGCAGCACAAGGTGGTTTTCGTCCGTGTGAGTGTGTTCGTGGGCGTCTTTGTGTGTCTGCGTTTCTGGACATGTGTGCACGAGTCAGGGGGTGTCTGGGTGGGATGGATTCGGAACAACGTGCCTGGTGTACCCCAGAATCAGGTACCTCAAGTGGCTTTTTTTTGTTGTTTTCTTTTTTGATGAGGACGATGCTTGATATGTTACTATGTACGTGTGGACGGGGAAGCAGGAGACTTATGTGTATTGTCGAGTGTGCACAGCGCAGCCTGTGAGTCCCTGCAACCGCGTCTTGGATTTCTGAAGTCGCATTCCTTGAGGGTTTTGGCGCCCTTCCCTCCACCTGGTAAAAGGAATGAATGAGAACACTTAGTGAACATCTCCATCGCCCTGGACACATCTCCAGCCTCGGTCTTGGTGACTGCTAGGCGAGGTGTGACATTGTGTTTGTGTAAGTGGGTGTGTCTCCCAATCTCTGTGTGATTCTCTAGGACAGTGTGTTGTGTGTGTGACAGGTGGAAGTTGAAGGAGGCTGGTTCAGGATTACAGAAGTGGCTTTCTTTCTCTTGGTGGATACCACCTTCGTGGTGTGTGTCTATGTGTGTATTTAAGTGTGTGAGTGTGTATCAGTCTCTCCAGTGGTTCTCTCTTCGTGTCTCTCCCCTTCTCTGTCTCTTTCTCTCTCTCTCGGTGACTCATCTCTGCGGCGTTGCCCTCCCCCGCTTGCTGGGTCTCTCCCCTCCCCCACTCAGGAGTGGGTGGGGGTCTGAGGGCGAGTGGGGCCTCGGGACTGAAAATCAGGGTGAGCACCCCCTTCCCATCACTCATCATTCCAGACCCTCCAGTAGCCCCCTAGCCCTCCCCTCAGTCCCTTCCCCGGGACTCCCCAGCCCTGGGATGGGAAGGGGATACGGCAAGAGTGTGTTCTAAATTGGGCAATTTTCAGGGGGCCTTTAGCATCTTCTGTGAATTCAAAGTGGAGACCCCTTCCCCTCTCATAAAGTACCCCCTCCCTGCCTGCCCCCCCACCAAGGCTGACGCAGTTAAAGGCTGCAGAGGTGAGTCACCGGTTGGGGGGAGGGGGAGGAGAAGAAGGGAACTGTGAGCTTCGGGGTCCACAAGCCCCTGCTCTCTCTTTCTCTCCCAGACCTCTCAGGGAAAAGACCCAGTTCTCTTCCCCGATCCTCTGGTTTTCCATATCTTGAGCTTAGATTCCTTCGATGCTGGACCCCATCTTCTCCAGCTACCCTCTTGGAGGGAGATTCAGGAACAAACACAAAGAGAGATGATGGATTCACACAAACAGGTCAGAGCCAATACCAGGCATCCCCAACCAGGTCCCCATCTCAGCTCTGCCTTCTCCAGCACTGTCTCTCCCACTTTCTTCAGTTCTCTTTCTTTTTCTCACTATCTCTCTCCTTTCCCCATCCCAGGAACCTGTGCCCAGTCTAGAAGCCCCTAAACGCAGCAGGGTATGAAGAGCACAGCTCACCCCCAGTAGAGGGGGCAGTGTGTGATCGAGTTGCCCCAGGTAGGGAACTGGGACGAAGAGAAGCAGAAACAATGAGTCCAGAGACCATGCACCAGAGACCATGCAGACATAAAGAATCAAGACCCACACTGTGGAATCTCCAAGCCTTTGGTGCCCCAGGCATTCACCTCCACCCTGCTCCCTCACCACAAGACGCTGGAGCCTTGGGGACGCTGATTTCTGAGAAGCTCTCCTGGGCTTCTGAGCTTAAGTGGAGGAAGGGAGGGATTGGAAGTGGGGGCATGTGTATGCTTACACACACATTATTGTGTACCACCAAGCCAGGCACAGTTTTTGGACACGAGCAGATGCCCAGAACTTGGTGTGTTCAAAGACCCCAAACAGCATGGGCATACAGGCATGAAGAAGAGATAAGAAACCCCCCCAACACACACACACTTTCCCCCCCATCATGTATCTAATTCATCTCTGTACACATATAAACATACGTGCACAAGCCATGTACATGCACACCCAGGTGTGTGTGCACACGCACAAGCCCACAGGCAAATACAGTTTCTCTAGGTGCCTGTCTCTCATCTTGCAACTTGGTCTCTAATCCCCATCAGCACTCAGTCAGCCCCCTTGGCTCCCTCCCTCCCCTCTCCCTTCTCTCTTGGATGGCTTCCCATCCCCCTCTCCAGATGTCTGAGCCATCTCTCTCTGATTCATCCTCCTCAGGAAGGTAACGTGACCCCTTCCTCATCCCACTGCTCTCTGTATCCAGGCTGGGAAGATGAAGGGGAGATGGGGGGAGAGGAGAGGAAGGAGGGGAAGCTGTGGCTAGTTGTGTGTGGGGATGGGAGGCATTGCCTCAGGGTCTCCTAACCCCTCTTTCCCTCCTTCCTTGGAATCTCCACTGTCACCTTGGTTCTCAGTTGTTTTTTTTTTCTCTCTCTCTCCTTTAGCCTGCTCCTTCTACCTGTTCCAGATCCTTTCCTTCCTTCCTCCTCCCCTGCCCCCATCTCTTCTCTCTTTCCCCCCTCTTCACTCCTCCCCATTTATTTCCCCGCAGAGCTGATGGGTTTTCTTCTGGGAAAGTCGAGCCACTGATGGAAGCGAGAAGCCACTGCTGGTTATAGAGAGAAAGCACGTGAGTGTGTGTGTAGGGAGGGGGAGGTTGGAAGGAGGGTCAGTTCTAGGAAGAGGTGAGGAGGGGGATGAGGACTGTCTCTGAAAGAGTCTCTGAGCCCATGGCAGACAGCCCTGACCTCGGTTTTCAGAGTCTTAGGGTGCGGGTGCCCTGCTGTGCCCACAAGCATCTCTGTGTCCGCAGTTCGTGTGTGTCTGGCGTGTGTCATTGTCGTTCCCCCCTTCCCTGTCCACGCCCCCGCACCGCTCTCTGCCAGCACCGCAGCCCCCTCCAGCCTTCCTCCCTCCCTCCCCTTAATTCCTGCAGTGGCTGCCCCCCTTGCCACCCTCTCCTCTCCCCTGCCCCCTCCCCATTTCCGTCCTCTTCCCCCACCCCCGCCCACGGCCGGTCTCCCTTCACCGGACCCGGCTCGCTGATGGATTCTCTTTGCGCAAATCTGTGCGTCATCGCCCCCCACCCCCGGAACCTCTAGCTGTCCAAGCCCCCAGCCCCAACCTCTCTGGCAGGAGATACGGTCGAAGGGTCTGGTGGCAGAGAGGGGGTATCTGTGACGTTGCATGCCCCCCCTCCCATCGCGTTCAAACCTTCCCTTTAAGCGGTGGAGAGAGCTGGAGTTGAGTCACCCCCCACCTGCGCAACCCCCTCCCCACCTGGTCTGGTGTCGCCCTCCAAACGTCCTTGGGGGAGGGAAGTGGCTGGAGGGAAAGCGACTGGGGGAGAATGGGAAGAGATGGGCCGAAGGGGCACAGCGGGGGGCCTTGACACTAGCGGCAGTCGGGGGACAGAAGGACAGACACACCTTTTTCTCCAGACACAGCACGGGTCGTGAAACAGACACGACCCAGAGGCACACACATCCTCATTCCTTCCCCCTTCTCTTCCGACTCCGACCCTTTCCGATGGGATTACCAAAACCGCAAGATCCACCCATCTGCCCCTGCTAGGGGGCTGCCACCCCGCACCGCCGATCCGCGGACAGCGCCCGCGGGCGCGCAGATATGTCCCCCCGTGCTCAGGTTCATGCCGTCCTTGGGCATGTGGGCTCGGGGTGGCGAGCCCAGCCCCCTCCTCGGCTGTCGAATCTTTATCCTTCCCCTCCCCAGTATTTATCTCCCACTGGTGCCTAGTGAGACGCTGGGGCTGCCCTTTTCCAAGTCCACTCGGCAACGGCGGACTCCATCCAGCAGCTCCAAGTTGCTCTGCAACCCACCCTCCCGCCTTCCAGCGCCTCTGCATCCACCCTTCCATTCATTCTCCCATTCATTCATTCATCCTTTTCTCCTCGTCCCTCCTTCATTCATTCATAGCCCCCCGCTCCGCCCGCTTCAGCATTTCATTCATTCATTCATTCATTCATTTCCCGGAGCTCCGCTAGCGCACACCCCTCCAGCCGAAGGCCCCAGCGCGCAGGCGCAGGCCGGGAGAGGCAGGCACCCTCCAATCGTAGGGCGTCCTCCCTCCTCCGGGCGCCCGCCCGCTTCCCCATGAATGAACATTGACGTCAATGGGGCGGGGCGCGCCCACGTGACCCCGCGCGCTCCCCTTTATAAAGCGGTGGAGGCGCGGGCGCTGTCCAGCGTGCTGAAGCCGGAGCGAGCGAGCCGCCCGGAGCCGCGCCGACCCAGCTGAGCCCAGCCCAGGGGACGCCAGACCTCGACCGTCGCTCCTACCCCGGCCACCACTCGGAGCCGAGGCGGACGCGTCCCGATCTTCCCCAGTCCCCATCCCGCCCCGACCCTCCTCTCCACCTCCCGCTTCGTGACACCAGCTGGTAAATACTCCGCTGTCCGTCCCTCAAATCGTGGGCGTGAGGGAGGGTTCTCTCTCCTCTCGATGGGGGCGTTGCAAGCACAGCGGGAGCCCCCTGGTAAGGGTCCCCGGTAAATGGGGGAGTCGCAGCTTTTTCTCTTGCTGCTGAAGTCGCCCACGCACCATCCGGGGAGTCCTACGGGGAGGGAGGGAGCAGAGATTTTTTTTCCCCCATATTGCTGCTTAGTACGTGGGCGATGGCAGTGAGATGGCTCAGGGAAGGGGGCGAGGAAGCCCTGGGTAAGCGAGGGCTTCGGGCGTTCTTTTCCCATTTACACGACTCCAGAGATCGGCACAACATCTTCCTCCTTTGCTCCTAAACGTTCCTCTTGTGGGTAAGGTTAGGGGGATCAGGGAAGCCCTGGGTTTCCTGCTGAAAGGTGGGGGAAGGGAACATAGATCTAGAGAGGGGAATTCTTACAGAAATCCTCTTTTTTTTTTTTTTTTTTGGTCCCTTCTATTTTTCAGTCTCTGGCAGCCTCTTGGTCATGAAAGCCCTCAGATTGCCGGTTTCCGCCCTCTTCTACCTTCTGCTAATCAAGGGGTTAGGGGCAGCACCCTCTGGTCGCCCTGAGGCGCAGCCTCCTCCCCTCAGCTCTGAGCATAAAGAGCCGGTGGCCGGGGACCCAGTGCCCGGGCCAAAGGATGGCAGCGCCCCAGAGGTCCGAGCCGCTCGGAATTCCGAGCTGCAGGACGAGGGAGAGCTTTTCCAGGGCGTGGATCCCCGGGCGCTGGCCGCGGTGCTGCTGCAGGCACTCGACCGCCCCGCCTCGCCCCCAGCATCGAGCGGCTCCCAGCAGGAGCCGGCGGAAGAAGCAGCTGAAGCTCTGCTGACCGAGACCGTGCGCAGCCAGACCCACAGCCTCCCGGCGCCAGAGAGTCCGGCGCCCGCGGCTCCGCCTCGCCCTCAGACTCCGGAGAATGGGCCCGAAGCGAGCGATCCCTCCGAGGAGCTCGAGGCGCTAGCGTCCCTGCTCCAGGAACTGCGAGATTTTAGTCCAAGTAGCGCCAAGCGCCAGCAGGAGACGGCGGCAGCAGAGACGGAAACCCGCACGCACACGCTGACCCGAGTGAATCTGGAGAGCCCGGGGCCAGAACGCGTGTGGCGCGCTTCCTGGGGAGAGTTCCAGGCGCGCGTCCCGGAGCGCGCACCCCTGCCACCCCCGGCCCCCTCGCAATTCCAGGCGCCTGTGCCGAAGAGCGGGCCCCTTCCCGAAACCCACAAGTTCGGGGAAGGAGTGTCCTCCCCCAAAACACACCTAGACGAGGCATTGGCACCCCTGTCCAAGGCGTACCAAGGCCTGGCCGCCCCGTTCCCCAAGGCGCGCCGGCCGGAGAGCGCACTCCTGGGTGGCTCCGAGGCGGGCGAGCGCCTTCTCCAGCAAGGGCTGGCGCAGGTGGAGGCCGGGCGGCGGCAGGCGGAGGCCACGCGGCAGGCCGCGGCGCAGGAAGAGCGGCTGGCCGACCTTGCCTCGGACCTGCTGCTCCAGTATTTGCTGCAGGGCGGGGCCCGGCAGCGCGGCCTGGGGGGTCGGGGGCTGCAGGAGGCGGCGAAGGAGAGAGAGAGCGCAAGGGAGGAGGAGGAGGCGGAGCAGGAGAGACCCGACGAGGAGGAGAGGGTGGGGGAAGAGGATGAGGAGGCGGCGGAGGCGGAGGCAGAGGCGGAGGAGGCGGAGAGGGCGCGGCAGAACGCGCTCCTGTTCGCGGAGGAGGAGGACGGGGAAGCCGGAGCCGAGGACAAGCGCTCCCAGGAAGAGACGCCGGGCCACCGGCAGAAGGAGGCCAAGGGGGCAGAGGAGGGCGGGGAGGAGGAGGATGACGACGAGGAGATGGACCCTCAGACGATCGACAGCCTTATTGAGCTGTCCACCAAACTCCACCTGCCAGCGGACGACGTGGTCAGCATCATCGAGGAGGTGGAGGAGAAACGGAAGCGGAAGAAGAACGCCCCTCCCGAGCCCGTGCCGCCGCCCCGGGTCGCCCCCGCTCCCACCCACGTCCGCTCCCCGCAGCCCCCGCCCCCCGCCCCCGCCCCGGCTCGGGAAGAACTGCCGGACTGGAACGAGGTGCTCCCGCCCTGGGATCGGGAGGAGGACGAGGTGTACCCGCCAGGGCCGTACCACCCTTTCCCCAATTACATCCGGCCGCGGACACTGCAGCCGCCCTCGGCCTCGCGCCGCCGCCACTACCACCACGCCTTGCCGCCTTCGCGCCACTATCCCGACCGGGAGGCCCAGGCTCGGCGCGCTCAGGAGGAGGCGGAGGCGGAGGAGCGCCGGCTGCAGGAGCAGGAGGAGCTGGAGAATTACATCGAGCACGTGCTGCTCCGGCGCCCGTGACCCGCCCCGGCCCCGCCCCCGCGCGCCCCCGCCGCGCGCGCCACCGCCCCCCTCCGTGTCGCCCGTTCCCCCTCGGTGTTTGCATGCGCCCCGGCCCCGCCCCTCGGCCCCGCCCCGTTCCCAGGCTGCTCCGGGACCTGCCAGACCCCCTTCCCGGGTCCAGAGCCCGAACTCCCCGAGCTCACTCGCGGGTGACCCGGGACCAGCCCAGGAGGACCGCTGGTTTGTGCCAGTTCCCTCCCTGCGGGGGACTCCGACCCCACCAAGTCCCCCTGGGGACGTCCCCATCCGAAACCGGAAAAAGCGGTTCCAATTAATTGTGTGAAGTGTGTCTGTCTCCAGCCCTTCGGGCCTCCCACGAACCCCTCCAACCTCTCCAAGTCGCTGTGAATTGACCCCTTCTTTCCTTTCTCTGTTGTAAATACCCCTCACGGAGGAAATAGTTTTGCTAAGAAATAAAAGTGACTATTTTATTAGGACTTTGTTCTCGGTTATTCACCCGTCCCCTTGGGCCTGTATGGTCCTTCCCAAGGGGCGGTGAGGGAAGCGCCAGCCACAGTCCCCATCTCCTCCTGCTTCCTGTCCCCAAATCAAGTCGAGGGATGAGTGGAGAAAGTCCTGAAACGGTTTTTAGAGGAGAATATGGCTCACGCCCATTAAGAAACCCGAAATTCCACTTCCAGCTTGGGGAATGGTGGTAAAGTCATCTTTCCCCAGGGCTTGACAGAAGCCCAGCAGAATGCAATAAAAGAGCCAATTGTCTAGGATGGGTCCAGCCACCTCTGGTTCAAAAGAAAAAGGCACCCCGCAGGAGGTGCCACAGCTCTGGGTGCCAGCCAGCTCCTTTTCCCCAAGATCCCGGGGTTGCATGGATAATGCCAGAGTTTCCTGGGTTCACCCACCCACCTCCCTCCATTGCTCCCTAAATTCTCTGGTCCTAGGTACTTTGCCAGAAATGCAGGGAGGAAGGGGTGGCAGCCACAGAGACACCCTGACTAAAGCCACTTCTTAACGCTCCCCCCCACCCCAGACAGGGTCTCACTCTGTACAGCCCAGGGTGCAGTGCAGTGGCGTGATCACAGCCCACTGCAACCTTGAATTCCTGGGCTCAGGTGATCCTCCCACCTCAGCCTCCTGAGTAGCTGGGACTACAGGTGCACGCCACCGTGCCCAGCTTATTTTTGCTTTTTTTTTTTTTTTTTTTTTTTTTGATAGAGATGGGGTTTTGCCATGTTGCTCAGCTGGTCTGAAATTCCTGGGCTCAAGCGACCTGCTCACCTGGACCTCTCACCTTAGACTTTCCTAATCACAGGTACCTGTGAACTGATTCAAATGAAACTAAGCTGGGCAAATGAAATCCCCTCACAATGAACCCACATCCTGAGGAGCTGATCCTCCTTCTGTAAAGGCAGCTCAGGGAGTTGGGGGCAGCCTGTTTGGAGATGCTTTCTGAATAAAAATCTGTTTAAGGTAAGGCGGTCAGATAAAATACAGGACATGGACATTTGAAATTCCAGATGCACAACGGATGCAGTTTTAGATTTAAGGGTGTCCCAAACATTGCATGGGATACATTTATCCTCAAAATGATTCCTCATGTATCTGGAATTCTAATTTCACTGAGTGCTCTCTACGTTGCTTCTTCCCAAGGCTGGCAGGATCCCTTGGCCTTCCGATGATGCCAGCAGCCCTGCCTTCCTTCACAGAGCCCAAGGCCAGCAAAGTCCAGAAATGCTTTTCCTTTTATTTCAGAAGAAAGGAAATAAAGGCAGACACTTCCCCCTCCCAGCCCCTCTCCCAGCTCCTGCCTCACCCAGAACTGGAGTGAAAGAGGGACAGGGCCAGGACCAAGGTCCCCTAAAGCTTGCCCTTCCCCCAACCCTTTCTTCCCTCAAAGTGGCAAGTTTAGAAAATTATTAACTATGTTGTTCCTCCCTGGCACAGGATAGAGGCCCAGCTGCCAAAGAGAAAGAGGGGGGCCAGGCTTCCCTCCCAGGCAGAGAAGCCGCCCAGGCTGGCTATTGGGAGGGTGGAGGTAGGTTACGGGGCAGAGAGGAAGAGAAGCGCCCTGAAAACCTTTTCCCTTTAACCCGACATATTTATATATTTACAGTTATTAGGGAGGGGAGGACGTCTGGGGTGACATCCGTTCTGCAAAGGCAGGGAATAAAAGCCAATAGCACCCCCATCTGGGTCACATTTTCCTGCCTCCTAGCTCTTAAAACCTTCATGGGAAAAGGGGAAAGTGGAGGTAGGGGGTGGAGGGAGGGAATGTTTGAAGGGCCTGAGCCCACAGCTCACTCCAGAAGAAGGTGAGGCAGCAGAGGAGCGGCAGCTGAGTCCCACCAAGAATAGCGCCCTGGGCAGAGAAGCGGCGTTGGCACCCCACTGCCAGGACCCTATCTCCACGCCCTGGCCTGGCCGGGGGCTATGCCAGACCCATCTCCTCCAGCACACTCCGCGGCGACTCATCCTCCTAAGGCAGAGACAGACAGAGGGTGACGCAGAGACACCAGGAGAGGCCAACAGGGTGGGCAAGACAGCAGTCACGAGAAAGAGTCAGACGGGGGAGGCACAGACACGGGGGAGGGGGAGAAAAGCCAACATGAGCCCAAGGCCAGACCAGCGAGCCTTTCAGGGGGGTCCCACCAGTCTCCCAGGGCCAGCCAACAGTGGCAGGTGGGATCCAGGTTGAGTCCATCACCACCCAGAGAACCCAAAGCCAGGAACTTGGTGAGCAGGGGCCCCACCTTGGCACCTGGGAGTAAAGGGAGTGAAGCCAGGATGGGGAGGTGGGAGATCTTTCTGGGGGCCTGGGGGGTGCAGCTGGCTGGGTCCTATTTTTCAGAGTTGGGGGAGGCAGTGGGAGGTGAGTGCCAGGTGCCTGAGGGAAGGTGAACAAGACCACAGGGAGATACATCATTAGGGTCTGAGCGGAAAACTGGTGACACGGTGTGTGTGTGTGCCAGGGCATGTGTGTGCGTGTGTGTGCATGTGTGAAGGTGAAGCTCGACCAGTGAGGTGGCAAGTTCAGTTCTGCCCTCTCTCTCACTGCAGAGATGAGCCCCCCCTCACCTCCCATCTCTCCCCCTCCTCAGAGCCAGCTCAGGCCGGGCTCGCTCATCACTGCAGATTCCGGTGACTCATCTCCCTGCACCAGGGCCTGGTGATGGCACAGCAGAGAGGGAGCAGGCAGTAATGGGGTGAGGGTGGGGGTGTCAGAGAGCAGCGAGAACCAATGTCCAGGTGGCCTCTGCCCCAGCCCCCAAATCCCCATAGTCTCTTCCTCCTAAGAAGCAGAGGCTTTGGAGTATGTGTGTGTTTAAAAAAAAAAAAGAGGGGTGGGGGAAGAAATCAGGGAAGAAAGGAAAGATCTATCAGGTGCCCCTTCTCCAATCCTGCAAGCAACCCTTAACTCCAAAGCAAACCCTCAACCCCTTGGCGTTAAGCGTTGCTCAGAGAATTGAACAAAAAAGACTAAGTGGCCACAACACATCTGGGGCTTGGGGTAAGGACAGCTTGGAGTGAGGGGTACACAGGTGGGCTATCTGCCACCCTACCTCCCACCCCAGGGGGTCAGGGCTTAGAGCTGGGTGTGCTGGGGGTCAGATGTCACAGGGAGGGGGGCCCCCTTGGCGATGGTGGGCAGGGCGGGCAGGTTGTCTGCCACTGTGCGCTTCCTCCTCCTCCTCACTGTCCCTGGCCCGTACCTCCTGCAGTAGGTCGGCCTGCTCGATGGCTTTCAGCACACTCTTCTTGGAGGTGTCCTGGACATCCCCCCCCATCAAAAACTCATCCAGGATGAAGTAGGCCTTCTCAAAGTTGAAGATGATGTCCAGCTCGCACACCTGGCGGGGGGGTAGACGTGCAACTGCTGCCACTTCCTTTTCAAGACCATGCCTCCCACCTTGGGCTCTGCCCCCAACACCCAAGCCTTAGTAGTTAGTTGGTTCAGCTTTTTCACTTTTTTTGTTTTGTTATTTTGTTAGAGACAGGGTCTCTTGCTCTGTCGTCCAGGCTGGGGAATGCAGTGGCATGATTATAGCTCACTGCAGCCTCGAACTCCTAGGCTCAAGTGATCCTCCTGCCTCAGCTTCCTGAGTAGCTGGGACTACAGGTACATGCTATCATGCCCAGCTAATTTTAAAAATATTTTGTAGAGACGGGGTCTTGCCATGTTGGCCAGGCTGGTCTCGAACTTCTGGCCTCAAGTGACCTGCCTGCCTCGGCTTCCCAAAGTGCTGGGATCACAGGCATGAACCACCGAGCCTTGCCTTGAATTAGTTTTTTCCGCTCTTCCTCTTTCCTCCTGATCATGAAACATTAGTTGTCCTATCTACTTTTGTCTATGGCTCCCCTTGCCTTTCCCCCAAAATCTGTGATGTTGTTCCCACCAAAGGTTGGGCTAGCCCCCTCTTCCTAGACATGGGGGCGCAGGAAAGGAGGGGATTCTGGACCACAGGGTGAGAGACCTGAGTTCTAAGCAGGGCTCTAACACCAACCATCTAGCTAAACATGTCCTAAAACATCTCTGAGTCTCAGTTTTCTGGCCTGAAGATGGAGATACCAACACCTACTGAGAGGATGGGATAAGAAGCAAACAAGAGGCCCCGAAAGCACTTTATCAATTGTTAAGCAGGACACAAATTAGGGAGTTATTACTATGCCCCATTTAAGATCTGAGCTATCCCTCAGATAAGTTATTTCAGAATCTCTAGGAGTGGAGTCTGGACATGGCTATTCAAAAAGCATTCTCCAGAAGATTCCAGTGTAAATCCAAGTCAGGAGCCAGTGATAAAAATCTGACTATGAGGCCGGGTACAGTGGCTCATGCCTGTATTCCCAGACTTTGGGAGGCTGGGGTGGGAGGATCACTTGAGTCCCAGAGTTAGAGACCAGCCTGGGCAACACAGTGAGACCCCATCTCTAAAGAAAAAAAAATACGAAAATTAGCTGGGTGTGGTAGTGTGCACCTGCAGTCCCAGCACAGCGGGGGACTGAGGCAGGAGGGTGGCTTGAGGCCAGAGGTTAAGGCTGCAGTGAGCTATGATTGTGCCACTGCACTTCAGCTATAGCAGGCATTCCTCCACGTAACAGGGTGAGGCTGGGTCTCTAAAAAAATAAAAATTTAAAATAAAAAAAAAATCTGAACTTGGTCTCTCTGTGAAAAGTCCGAGCTAAGCTGTAAGTGGAGATTAGGTGCCTGATCCTGCCCCCGGCCTCCCACTCACCATTACAGAATGTGGTTAATAGGCTTAGAGCTTAAAAAGGGAAATTAATTACTGTTCTTACTGCTCCAACTTCACCTCTCCCCTGAGGCTTCCAGCGCAGAGACTGGAGGGGCCTCAAAGTTTGCTAGAAAGGGGATTGCTGGGAAAGGAAACCGGGGGCAGAGGAGACTCACACTGCCAAAGTATTTGTCTAAGAGCTCCACGTATCGGTGGATCAGCTCCAGCGTGATGAGCTCATTGTCTTGGCCCTCGATGGCGCAGCAGAAGTAGAGGCTGGCATATCTGTGGAGAGGAACGCAGGAGACATTGCCACAAGCCTGCTTCAGGACCCAAGCATCCTGGGCTCAAACCTCCCACTTGCCTGGGGGTGGTCTGTGTCCTGGCTGGTCACAGGCGAGGTGGCCCTAGGGCATGGGAATAGTAACTCACTTGCCTCTTAGTGCTACCTTAAAAACAGTCAAAGAACACGTGCTTTTTCCTTCCTGCCCTCTGACCTCCTAAGTTTGACTCAGCAAAAACCTGGGCCAAGCAATGTACCTGCTCCGAGGAGAAGGAACCAAAAAGGGTGTGGGTGTGTGTTAGGAAAGTAGGGCAGGACCTTTGACTGTAAGACACGCGCAGTGGGGCAAGATAGGGCCTAAAGGGACACGTGTGTGAGGCAGGTGTTGAATGTGAGCAAAGCCAAGTCATAAAGAGAACTTCTTTAAGAAGAATTTGGGGGAAAAAAAACAAAGGAAGCTGGCATTCGTCACTGTCCTCCAGATGTCCTCAGCTTCCCAGGTCTCCATGACCTAAGGGACAACCATTTCTCAGCCATTTGAACCCATTGCCCAACTGGAATCTAGGCAGGTCTGAAAGTAGGTGGGGAGTCACCTCTTATAGACAACTTTGAGGTCCCTCCACTCCAGGAAGCTGCACATCTTGGGCTTGCGAGCCAGGACAACCTGCATGAGCTCTCGCACCATCTTCTTCCGTTCTTTGTCCGAAGTGGCCAGGTACCACTTTTGCAGCCGCAGTTTTCCCTGCCGGCTGAATAGCAGCATAAACCGCATCTGCGACGGTGGGTGGGGGGAGGGATGGAAGGGCAGAACCGAGTGTCAGCACACATTCCCCAAACTCAACCTGGCTCATTCTTCTATTCTCCCAACATCCAGCCCCTTGCACTCATCCCTGGGTGTTTCCACCAGCAGGGGGAAAGTCAGAGCTTCTGACTGTCATTTGGGTTCACATCCTGGCTCTCTCTACTAGTTATGCGGAGCCTTAGGCCAATGACTACTCTCTCTCTGGGCCTCAGTTTCCTTATCTGTAAAATGGACACCATACCTGCCTTGCACAGTTGTTAGGAGAGACTAAATGAGTTGATATATGCAAGTCCCTAGCACAGGCAGGTGGTATAATATGTTAGGTATTATTATTATTATGTTTGAGACAGAGTCTCTCTCTGTTGCCCAGGCTGCAGTGCAGTGGCGTGATCACTGATCGCTGCAACCTCCGCCTCCTGGGTTCCAGCGATTCTCATGCCTCAGCCTCCTGAGTGCTGGAATTACAGGCACATGCCACCACACCTGGCTAATTTTTCTACTTTTAGTAGAAGTGGCTTTTCATCATGTTGGCCAGGCCCTGGTCTCGAACTCCTGGCTTCAGGTGATCCGCTCACCTTGGCCTCCCAAAGTGCTGGGATTACAGGCATGAGCCACTGCAACAGGCTTTTAGGTATTATTATTATCGCAATGATTCCCTAATCTCTTGCTTTCTGGTTCTGCTTCCCAAAGTAAAATGCCTAGCACAGTGACAAGAAGCCAGTAGCTGATGCCAAAGAAATGCCTGTTCTCTTCCACCCTCCCTCTACCTACCAGTATGCTGAAATCTGGTATTTTGTCCCTGGAGAAGCTACCTCAATTTTCCACCCCATCCTAGCCATAAGATTTTAATGATGTCCAAACAGAGGGCCCTCCAGTGCCGGCCCTATGCCCAGGGGTATCCTTCTGCCTTATGTACCTGCAACACCATACAGGGTATGGAGATGCCCAAATCCCACCTTCCTCTCTGCAGGCATCCAGGTATTTGGTCTTTTACAATTTCTCTTAACTCTTCTTCCTTTTAGGGTGCCTCCTGCTAAGCGCCCACTCCTCCTCAGGTGATTAATCTCCCTCAGTTAGGGCCCCCTCCACCCAGGGGGTTCCCCTAAAGAATGTCTGCAGAACAGACAGCAAACTGGGTCAAGTGGGATGGAAGACAGAACCCTCGCTACCCAGTGCACCCCAGGTTCTCAGTTCCAGGGGGTCTGGGCCACGGCCTGGAGTCTTCTTCCCCCAGCAGCTCTCCTATCCAGGGACATGTCCAGGGCTGGAATCCCTGGGTGTGTGGCACTGTACTAGCTTAGTAGGTGAAAAATCAGAATTCAGGGGAACTGATTTTTTTTAGTGGAGGGGGAAAGAGGGGTGCCAGGGAGCCTGGTGCGGCTCAGCCAGGGGGGTGGGGAGCGAGCAGGAAGACGGAAGGCCTGGGTTCCGGAAAGAGAGTGGAATGGGGGGGCAGAGAGTCCCGGATCCCGAAGCCTGGGTCCCTGCGGGCAAAACCTCGAGCCCACTTCGCTTCCCCACCTCAGCCCAGCCTCTAGGAGAGCACGGCCACGAACCCAGGCAGGGCGCTCCCTCCTCCGACCCGGAAACTCCCTGCCCGCACCCAGCTCCCCACTGGGGCCCCTGCTCCCGCCTGGACCGCCCGGGAAGGGGGTCTCGGTGACCAGTGACCCCCGCTCCCTCCCTCCGCAAAGAGACCCCCGCACGCCTCTGCTTCGGGCGGCTTCCCTGCGGCAGGGATCGAGGGACCCCCGGGGGCCGAGACCCGAGCGCCCCTCCCGGCTCGGGACGGTCCTGCCACCCCCTCGTCAGCCCCCGCTCGCCCAGCAAATGCGCCCCTCTCGCCCCTCTCCCAAAGGCCACCTCCCCCTCTTCCTCCCGAGCCTGGCTCGCCCACCCGCCGAGGCAAGGGAGGCCTCCGAGGACCAGAGAGAAGACAGGGCGGCTCACCCCGAGGGCGGCCCCGAAGGACCCCCACAGGTGCAGCCCACGCCCCTCGCTTCCCCCTCCCCTCCCTCTTCGTACAGCCTACCATCCTGCAGCCTCCGGCTCGGCGCGTCCCACTTCGGCCACCGTACGCTCCAGCCCCACTCCCTTTCTTATCCTTTCTCTGGCTTCCCTCCCTCTCGTCCGAAGCCCCGCCCCGTCCCGCCCAGGCTCCGAATCCCGGCGCGCCACGCTCTGCGCAGGCGCCGACGCCGCGGGGCGCGGGCGGGGCTGGAGGCGGAGAAGTGGGAACCATGGCAACCAGGTCCCTGACTGCAGCTTCTAGGAGCCCGGTCGTCATGGTAACACGGCTGTCCTGTGGGCTGGTTGAAGGATGGGGGAGGAGGACAATTAGGTCCTCGCGCTTTGGAGGCTTGAGGGGGGAAAAAGGCGGGAAAAGGGGTGCAAGGTGAATGGGACCATCATTACAGTTCGCGGCAACAGGCAGGACTCCTGGAAGGGGCGTGGGCAGTGAAGAGGGAGCAGAGTGGGAATTAAGTGTAGAAGAGGAGGAGCGACCTGGAAAAAGGGAAGTATAGAACTCAAGCTAAATATCTATTGAGAGCCTGTTAGACACCGTCCTCTAGTTAGTTTTAGAGACGGGATCTGGCTGTGTCCCCAGGCTGAAGTGAAGTGGTGGGATCGTGGCTCTCTGCAGCCGTGAATTCCTGGGCTCAAGAGATCCTCCCGCCTCAGCCTCCTGAGTCGCTGGGACTACAGACGTGCACCATCATGCCCAGCTAATTTTTAAATTTTTTCGTAGAGACGCGGGTCTCACTGTTTTGCCCAGACTGGTCTCGAACTCCTGGGCTTAAGAGACCCGCTTCGGTTTCCTAAAGTGCTAGGATTACAGGCGTGAGCCATTGTGCCTGGCTTCTGATCTTAAAGTAAGAGAAATGTGTAGACAATGAATAAAATAGAAAAGGAGAGGCTGCTATAAAAGGCATGTAAGGAGAAGAGGGAGGAGTGTGAATTGAGGCAAAAAGAGAAAAAATAAAGAGCGTCTTAAAAGGTTAACGTGGGTCAAAGCTAAAAAAGGGACAGAGGTAACCCAAATCTCAGTGTGAAGATGAGGTGGCTATAAGTTGTAATATGAGTTTTTAAACTGAGTGTGTGTGTGTGTGTGTGTGTGTGTGTCTGTGTCTCTACATGTTACTGGAAAAAGGGGGTCCTGATCCAGACCCCAATAGAGGATTCTTGGATCTCATGCAGGAAGGAATTCAAATCAAGTTGCAGAGTGCAATGAGAAGAGAGAGTTTATTGAAAGCTACCCTCTTATGCGCCAGCACACCCCACTAATTTTTGTATTTTTAGTACAAAATACAAAATCGGTTTTCACCATGTTGGGCAGGTTGGTCTCCAACTCATGACCTCAAGTGGTCCACCTGCCTCAGTCTCCCAAAGCACTAGGATTGCAGGTGTGAGCCGCCATGCCTGGCCCCAGCCTCTTTCTTCTTTTACTTTTTCTTCTTCCTTTTGCTTTTGTTTCCTTTTCTCCTCTGCCTCCACCTTATTAGGCTTGTCAACAGCATTGTCTAAGATCCACGGCATGTACTAGTGGGATATCTTACCAGTGGCATACGTAGTTGTCTGGCTGAACTATCCTGATGCTATTTATTTATTTTTATTATTATTTTTTTATTTTTTTGAGGTGGAGTCTCATATTGTTGCCTGGGCTGGAGTGCAATGGAGTGCAATGGTATGATCTTGGCTCACTACAACCTCCACCTCCCGGGTTCAAGCAATTCTCCTGCCTCAGCCTCCCAAGTAGCTGGGATTACAGATGATCATCACCATAGCCGGCTAATTTTTTGTATTTTTAGTAGAAATGAGATTTCACTATATTGGCCAGGCTGGTCTCAAACTCCGAACCTCATGATCCGCCCACCTCGGCCTCCCAAAGTGCTGGGATTACAGGTGTGAGCCACTGTGCCCGGCAGCTATTTATTAAGTAAAGAATAAGATGACACAGATAGGTGGTTGGACTATCTTGGTATCATTAATTAGGTCAAGAATAAGATCAACAAAGAAATTTGTTAGGGTTAAAAAGGGTAAATCATTATGGAATGAAAATAAGGACTAGAAGTGTGGCTGGGCGCGGTGGCTAGTGCCTGTAATCTCATCACTTTGGGAAGCCGAGGAGAGTGGATCACCTGAAGTCAGGGCTTCGAGAGCAGCCTGGCCAACATGGTGAAACCACATCTCTACGAAATACAAAAAAATTAGCTTGGTATGATGGCGAGTACCTATGATCCCAGCTACTCGGGACGCTGAGGCAAGGAATTTGCTTGAATCTGGGAGGTGGAGGTTGCAATGAGCCGAGATCGCACCACTACATTCTAGCCTGGGCAATAGAGCAAGACTCCATCTCAAAAAAAAAAAAAAAAAAAAAGTGCTCAGGAGAGAGATGAGAAGGTATAGATAAGGAAGGAATGAGTGGTATGGGTGATGAGGGAAAGAAATAAAGCAGAGAGCCCGGCAGCAGCTTGCAGAATTTTGGAAGCTCGAGAGATGTTAACTCCTACACTTCTTGGAAAGCCGACACTCTTTAAAATTCCTTGCCTCTATGTGATATGCCTAGTTGCAGAAATGCTAGGCTTCCTGAGAGAATTATTCGAGATGTAGGTTTTGCAGCCAGGCACAGTGGCTCACGCCTGTAATCCTAGCACTTCAGGAGGCTGAGGTGGGAGGATTACGGGAGCCCAAGAGTTCAAGACCAATATGGGCAACCTGGCAAAACCCCGTCTCTACAAAGGATACAAAAATTAGCCAAGAATGGTGGTGCACACCTGTGGTCCCAGCTACTCAGGAGGCTGAGGTGGGAGGATTGCTTGAGCCTGGGAGGTGGAGGTTGCAGTGAGCTGAGATCTCACCACTGCACCCAACATGGACGACAGAGCAAGAACCTGTCTCAGAAGCTAAAAGAAACAAAAAGTGGAAAGAAATATGGGTTTTGCACATGGGTAGTCATAGAATTCAAGTGGTTGAAACTAGTTAGAAGATGCTGGACTGGATTTCTTCTTTTGAGACAGAGTCTCACCCTGTCAGCCAGGCTGGAGTGCAGTGGCATGATCTTGGCTCACTGCAACCTCCGCCTCCTGGGTTCAAGTGATTCTCCTGCTTCAGCCTCCTGAGTAGCTGGGACTACAGGCACATGCCACTACATCTGCTATTTTTTTTTTTTTTTTTTGTATTTTTAGTAGAGACAGGGTTTCATCATTTTAGCCAGGCTGGTCTCGAACTCCTGACGTCAAGTGATCCACCTGTTCCGGCCTCCCAAAGTGCTGAGATTACAAGCGTGAGCCACCATGCCCAGCTTGGATTTCTTCATTGTTACTGAATGATGAATGTGGAGGATCTTTGAGTTCGTGGATCCAACACAGCTTGTGCATGGAGACGAATAGAGATTTTGATGCAGTTGGCAGTTGAGAGTCGTTTTGGTTTTGTGAACTGGTGAATAACTTGGTGAAAACCATGTGAAGGAAGTTCATCTTGGCTAAGCACACGGCAGCTCATGCTCATGCTCGTAAGCCCAGCACTTTGGGAGGCTGAGGTGGCAGGATTGCTTGAGCTCAGGAGTTTGAGACCAGCCTGGGCAACATAGATCCTGTTTCCTTTTATTTTTTTGAGACGGAGTCTTGCTCTGTCATCCAGGCTGGAGTGGAGTGGCATGATTTTGGCTCACTATAACCTCCATCTCCCGAGTTCAAGCTATTCTCCTGCCTCAGCCTCCCAAGTAGCTGGGACTACGGGCATTTGCCACCATACCTGGCTAGTTTTTATTTTATTTTTAGTAGAGATGGGGTTTCACTATGTTAGGCAGGCTGGTCTTGAACTCCTGACCTCAGGTGATCTGCCCTCCTCAGCCTCCCAAAGTGCTGGGATTACAGGGGTGAGCCACCACCCCCAGCCCATAGACCCTGTTTCCAAAAACAATTAAAAAAATTAGCTAGGCATGGTGACAGGTGCCTGTGGTCCTAGCTACTTAGGAGGCTGAGGCGGGATGATTACTTGAGCCCAGGAGGTAGAGGGTGCAGTGAGCCATGATTTTTCCACTACACTCCAGCCTGGGTGACTGAGTGAGACCCTGTCTCAGAATAAAAAGAAAAAATCTTATAGTCATATGTGGAAGAATTTGAAAGGACACTGGAAAGCTGAAAGATCGTCTGAGAGACAGTTTTGAGAATCCTGGCTCCAGGGTGAAATGGGAGGGACAAATCAGAGAGATGCCTCAAAGAAGCTACTGATCTGAAGTTGATCATCATCTAAGTAGAGAGAAAGGGAGAAGAATCCCGGAGGATTAGTGATACCACTTGTGTAAGTGGAAACATGGAAGAGGTGAGATGATGATGATGATGATCATGATTATTATTATTATTGTTATTTTTTTTTATTTTTTATTGGATTTTAGGTTTTGGGGTACATGAGCAGAGCATGCAAGACAGTTGCGAAGGTACACACATGGCAGTGTGCTTTGCTTTTCTTCTCCCCTTCACCCACATATTATTGTTATTTTTGAGACGAAGTCTCACTCTGTTGCCCAGGCTGGAGTACAATGGCACGATCTCAGCTCACTGCAACCTCCGCCTCCTGGGTTCAAGCAATTCTCCTGCCTCAGCCTCCCGAGTAGCTGGGATTACAGGCATTCGACACTACATCTGGCTAATTTTTGTATTTTTAGTAGAGATGGGGTTTCACCATATTGGTCAGGCTGGTTTTGAACTCCTGACCTCAAGTGATCCACCCCCCTCAGCCTCCCAGAGTGCTGGGCTTACAGGTGTGAGCCACCGTGCCTGACTGAATAGGTGAGATTCTTCTTCATCGTTAGGAATGATGTCTGTACCGTCATCCTACAAACCACACTGACACCTCCTCATGCCTTTTCTCATGTGGTTGTAGGGGTGCTTCCTGTGATGGTTGAGAGTGGCCAGATGGTTTCTGAAGAGTTTCATCTTTGTGAATCTATGATCCATGTTCCTCCCCATTTTTCTTTCTTTTTTTTTTAGTGTCAGGGTCTTGCTCTGTTGCCCAGGCTGAAGTGCAATGATGTGATCATGGCTCGCTGCAGCCTCAAACTCATGGGCTTAAGTGATCCTCCTGGCTCTGCCTCCCAAGTCCAAGTAGTGAGACTATACACATGTACCTATCTATTTTTAAAAATTTGTTTGTAGGCTGGGTACAGTGGCTGAAGCCTGTAATCCCAGCACTTTGGGA